TTCCGACTGCCTAATTGGCAAGTTCTAGGCCGACGCCAAGAAGAATTGCCAAGTGATGCAAGTCTGAACCTACCAATTTACTTTGAGTTACTCTCGGGGAGGAGCTATTGTGAAACACCGGTAGTCATCAAATGAGAAATCTAGCAACGCTGTACAGTCACAAAGAGTTTCGGGTCGTACCTGCAAAAGTTGAGTAGCCTGGATGAGCCAAACTGAAATTATTCGAGAAACAGAGGCAACACTTTCCATTCCAATGGTCAGTGTGAATTTTACAACTACTTGGAGGAATGAATAGTGCAAGTATATACGTGGCCTCCCGGTTGTGTATGTATAGATATGTACAAGAAGTCAAAATGGACTAGATCTAGCCCAATGTTTAGTTTTCCAAAGTTCCCGGTGTGGTCTTACAGCCGCCGGGGCATTGAACAATGAAGTCTACAAGAAACCGTGCCTTGTGTGCTTAGCCGGAGCAGGTGCCAGCCTTGGAGGGTTCGCATCCACCAGCGCAGCCGTTGTACATCTGGCACTTAGTCTTGGTGTCGGCGCAGACATTCTTGAGGGTGGCGGTGTCCTTGTAGGTCAGGTTGATTCCGGCCAGCTCTCCGCCGTTCTTGGCGGTGACGCCCTCCATGTAGACGTTGCGCTTGCACTGAGTCTTGCACTATGAAGGTTGAAAGAAAGGTTAGCTGGTCTTGTCGCGGGACAAGAGGTATATATTCCAGGAATTATCAACGTACGTTTCCGCAAGAGCGGTAGAGCTTGCCGTAGTCCTCGACGTAGTAGTTGATCTTAAATCACTATTAGCAGTGCTTATTTGAGAGCGAAGAGCAGTCGATCGATACTCACCACGTTGACGGTACCGCAGCCGTTGTGCTGAATGACCTTGTCAGAGGCGTGGTACGCACCACCACCGACAATCCAGGTCTGGGTTCCGGCCTTGTCGTTCTTGATGGAGATGGCGTCCTCGCAGACGTCCTCGAACCAGACGAACTCAAGAGTGCAGTGTCCATTGCAGTGGACACCCTCAGCCTGGTTCTTACCAATGATGGCATTCTTCAGGGTTCCGCCAGCCTGAATGTAGAAGACGGAGTCCTTGTAGTCTTGGAGAAGGGAATCATGTTAGGTACCTGCCCTCGGGCACAGCTAGTATGCGTATGATAAAACGTTGGCTACTCACCACCCTCGGACTGGCCACCGCAGGCACCGGAGCCGCGGTCGAAGCGCTGCCACTTTCCGTCGTAGACCTGACCAGCCTTGATCTCGATGTAAGACTTGGAGGTCACGGTACCGGTAGCCTTGGGAACACCGCCAGTGTAGCCGTTGCAGGCGAGAGCGCCGGGAAGGGCGGCCAACAAAGGCACCAGGCCAAACTTGAGGAATTGCATGATGAACAAGAGTATATACACTTGCAGAAAGAAAGAATGAATGTAGCAGTTGGTTTAAAGTTGAAAGAAGGTGAGAGTGATGGTCAGAAAGAACTGGATACGAATAGGCTGGACAACCCAAGGACTTATATGCAAACCTTCTCAAGACAGAGGTTCCTGGTTCACACAAATTCTGCCAAGGCTGGAAAGCTCACACTATTCCTATCGCAACTTGGCCACTCATCATAAAAGTCTAGGCAAACGGGCCATGTATTGCCTGTGTCAGGACTAGTTGAGGGGGGGTTCCCCAAACCCGCGGCTGAAGAAACGACGGATCGCACGGGGATTCGGACCATTGGTGGACATATAAACAGGCGTGCCTGGGAGATGCCTGCATGGTTGCTTCTGCTCGATGCTTGTAGTCGCTGATGGAGTCACTTTGGAGATTTGCCCCGCGTACCGGCGTCTGCGTTGGAAACTTGGTTGTGTTCTGGTCCCGCCGAATGCTGTACCTGGCAGTCACTTGTTGTCAACACGGCATGTAAGGGGCGGCACAGTACATGTAATGAAACTGCTGGGCTCAGTTGAACCCGAAGGAGCCTGACTTAATGGAAGAAGAAGCGTCCTCCACTGTCGAATCACAGGATTCTGCCATATTGTAGATTGCCACCAAGCCCTGAGTCTACGGTGTACCTGCAGATATGTGAAATACTTGATCGGATCACGGATGACGGTGTGACGGTAAGTTGTTCATCTCTTCGGCGTTCGGCCAGAGGCGACCCAATGAGACGGCAATTCCGACCTCAAAAAGAGATTAAGCTAGGTGGTAACGAATCTGGGAGCCCGACGACCAGGTTCTTTGCGCAAGGGGCTCCTCTGAGTTGGCCTCTTCCCGAGCAGTAGACGAATCAAGCGTGTCCAACGAAGGTGATACCGTGATCCTGCTGACATCCTGTCTCGGAGGTCACAACAACAGTGGTCTGTCGGCGAGGATGGAATCAACGCGAAAAAAGAGTCCATTCCATCAAATGGGTTGTTGTTGGTGGTGGTCTGTAAGGCGGAGTTGCCAAGACTCTTGTGTGCACAATGGGATGGATTGCCGCAGCTAACAACCCAGTCCGGTGCTGGATGTTGATTAATGCCAAGAGTCGAAGGCTCTTCTTCGAAAATTGCCAGGGGAACTTTGCCCCGCACACCGTTCTTTTGGGCGGTGTTTTTCCATTATTCGTATGACAATCTTGCAAGGAAAAAGAACTCACCGATCCAGTCGTCGTTCAGGACGGACTCTCCTTAAGACTGGAGTATCATCGGAAGCGGACGCCATTCATCGGCCCCACCGCGATCGAGACCGAGGACCTATGATCTGTTCTCCGGGAGTCTGTCTAACCATGCCTAACCTTATGAAGCACCCATGTCGCCAACAGTGTTCTACCAGCACGTTTGGCGGCTGTCATCTGAAGTTCTGAAGCAGCCCCGCCTACCCTTGCTGCCTTTTCCTTATTCCTAAGAATCCTGGTCACCTGTTATCGAGGTAATTGGACCAACATTCACGCTTCCCACGTGCCCAGCCCTTGGGACCTACCTGTTGCCTTTCCTCACTTCAAAGTTCAGGGGCATTTGGGGTTATCTCCCGCTTTTCCTCCATCCGAGGGTCCGTTTCTGAGGCTATGCTGGATGTCAATCCGGCTTCTCTCCGGAACCCACAGGCAGCCGGGCGAATCGTTCTCTTCCCGCCGCCTTGTGGGCGTTGGAAATGGACATGTTTGCCCAGCTCACCGTATGATGGTATCCATCACCTGAAATTTTCAGACTGTCAACGGACGCTCCGTCAGAAGCAATGATCTTGAGAATGGAGAACTGGCAATCACACAGTTCTTGGTATTTCCATCAAATACTTACTTGGCGTTTCCAACTGAGCTCATCCCCGATAGTTCCCCCAGGAGCGTCTTCTGTAACATGGCCCGACATTCCATATCAGGGAGAGGGGTTGAAGTCTGTCTTTCCAGGCTGGGCTCCCTCCTTTCCACACGCCCCACAATCTCTCTGTGCAGACCCAAGGATATTTGAGGCTATCACCCGCATATGGCTTAATAGGATTAAGACTTCGGCCGACTTTGTTAACAACGGATCCAGACAAGGAATGGTCGGACACCCTCCCCATGAGCTTCGTCCACACGATATCACTTACAGAATGGGGGCATCCACTTAAGCTCACGGGCGACCTTTGTCAAATGTGCGGAGTCCGGACCAGCGGCATCCATGCTTTGGTCACATAACCAACCGTGCTCGGAAGACCAAGAGAGAGGTTTTGAGAGGCAAAAGACTCATTCTGGCTCTCGAGCGCTCCCCACGTTTGTTTGCCGCTAGAGAAAAACCTCCTAGCTTGACCCGAGCGAAAATTGACACCACGGAGTTTGGCAGAAAAAGTCGGATGTTGTCAGCTTTCGTTATCAGTCAACACCAAGCGCCCGTTTCACGACGACCTTCCCTGCTGGGCCTGTGATTGTCTGGCCAAAGATTCTAGGTGAACTTTTCAAGCAAGTACACTACCTCCCCACGGGATACATCTTCGAACTCATATGCCCATCCTGGCGTACCTGGTAATTAACGCCGTCTGAAGACTGCTTTATGTGGTGCGATCCGAGAAAAAAGATGAGGGCCGAACTTCACACATCCCTTTCTGAACCCTGCCGCCAAGCTTTCCGCGATACCACCACCATGGATACCAGAGTCTTGGCAAATCTCAATTTTCTGCTTTCATCTGGTTACGAGCGCTCACTGCAGCAATGTCACCACGTCTTTTTCTCAATGCTGTCGCTGCCAGTAATCTTTTTATCATTTGCTAGGCCCACCAATCTCCGTGGGCAACATAAACTGGAGGAAACTGGGCCAAAACTTCCTCCTAAGCCGTTTCCCTTACGTGTCATTCCCATAGAGTTCTAAGATCATAACCTACAACCCACCCATTCGGATTCGGCCTTCAATAACTGAGCTAAATAACACTTGCTTCAGCACGAAGGGCTATGACAGATCTAAGAGCTGAGTTACTCGCTGACCAGAGGCCGGCCCAGAGAACGGAAATGCTCGCCGCGTTACCGACAGTACCGTCGCATCGTGATCTAGTTCACATGACACACAATTTTAATATATATGGAGGAGTTCTCGGTCGAGGTCTCCCTAGGATGCCTGTGATCCACTGCCTGGTATTTGACTTCCAATTGGATCTTCATCCGATCTAAACTCTATCGCTCGCCACTCTGGTGTTAACGTGTGGCCGGATCATTCGCCGCCCCCAGGTCTGGCGACCTAGATGAGTGAGGGTGAGCAGGGTGAATTAGGCATATGTGCAGAATATATGTAACTTTTCCCGCCGCGGTGTTTCCGTTCACTGATGGCTAGTCATGCCCCACCCGGGCTGAGGCTGGCTTCGCTGTCTTCCAATTCCCTGACGCTAAGTCTCAAAATATGATTGTGGCTGCTTTGAGATTGGCGGCATTTTCGTGTTGAATGATCGGAATAGACACATCATCAGGCTCTTTCCTGGAACCGAGCCACTTCATAAAATTTCATCACGGACATTGACAGATGAATCGAAATAATAGCCATAAGTACTTCTCTTCATACACGGTAAACCAATCACTCCATGATATCCATGATCCGTCTCATCCGTTCCTTGATCGTGGCGATCTCTTGTTCCAAGCGGCGTCTCAACTCGGGGTTCTCCTCGCTTTCTGTCGCAACATTGTCATTCCTGATCAGGTCAAGAACCGACGTAATCGCAGCCAACCCATCACGGACGATAGCCTGTAGCTCGGTTTGTACGTTATCCGCTAAAAGCCTCATTCTGCTCTTGAACTCAATCATGTGGTTCTCAAATAGATCCACGCGATCAACAGCATTGCGGATAATGTCTTTACGTCTCCCATCACTCCCTCCTCCTACATTCACTGCGATTAACAACATACTCCAAGATGTGGGCTGTATGATCTCAACTTACCATGTTCCGCGTTACACCTCCTGTAAGGGGTCTCCATCGCTTGACCAAGTATGGACGTTCGAATGCCGGTAAGTACGTCAATACGTAGCGAGCTATTTCGAAGATGAGTTTGAGACCTTTCTCAGAAGATTGAGCTGCTTACTTCAAGTCAGCGCCGGTTTTATCCGTGAGATCCTCTACTTGGGACTCCATGATTTTCTTGTGGCAGATCAAAGTTTCCTGGAGGAGATCGGTGACTCCAGGAAAAAGCTCAAGCTCATTTTCTGACTAACATTAGCGGAGTGATCCCAGTATGGGATTGGAAGTTCCTCACCAAGAAATTCCAGTGCCCAGTCCATCTGGCTCTGGATCAGACGACAGCTCTGCTCCAGTCTGGCCCTGCAAGATGTGCACACCGAATCCCACTGAGGCGTCACATCTCTAGCCATGGTGCAAATCAACTCCTGATTCCAATCATGCCAGCCGGCAATTCTGGTACGATGGTTCCCGAAATTGCGACAGAACGCTGAATAGGTCCCTTCAAACAGTTTTGAGCAAAAAGTCACGAGGCATCACTTGCAAACTTTGACCTACCAGGCGCCCACTGAAATCTAATTAGCTAGACACATGTGGAAACAACTCAGGCGACGTACAGGATCCCATTCCAAGGCGGCATTCGCCGCTGCAGTCCTCCATGTATTGTTGCGTCGATCTTAAACATTCGAAGTCAGACAGATTGATCGTCTGAGGAGCAGGTAGACCACATACTATCATAGATTCGTATCCTGAACTCATCTTTGATCGACGTCCCAACGAGGCTGAGATCTGAGTTCCTTCTTGTCAAGTCCTGATTACCCACTATCAGTCAAAAACTCCAAAGGTAAAGAGACATTGTGTCATTGTCTTGCGGATTCCCTGACCCTCTTCAACCGAGACTCGATCAAATTCAGCGTGTCGCGAATATGGAGCTTTTGTTCAGCACCGGCGCTTCCTGCACCAGACTCAACCCACAATGCAGCTTCTCCAAGCATAGCGGGAATGTCGTTATTGATATATCGCTTGGCAATACTCAACTGACTGTCCGCAATAATGCCGAGGCAGTGCTTTCGTAGAGCAAGGATACCGCTGAGCTGCAGTGATGGGAGGGCCACGTCTCTCGGCTTATGTCGTTCATCCCAGTATAGGATGTTGCTAACGCAGAACACCGCCAGATTTCCGCCTGCAATCTTGTCTTCGTAAGCTGTTCGAAGTTGCCTGGTGACAATGGCATTGCGGGTCTTCATCAGATACTCTTTTAGTCTATTGTGAAGGATGACATGTCAGCTTGCACTGAGGCCAAGTTTTGTGTACTTATTCGACAATTTTGAAGGCCGCGTAACTTACTCGAATAAATTCTTCTTCAAAACCGCACTGTTCAGCCAATGCGAGTTAGCGATACGCAAAAGCCTCTGTGCAGATGGGTCTCACTTGGTTCGCCTCTGTTCGTTGTGGAGTCGAATCGATTCTCTTTGTTCCTCGTCTGTCAGTTCCGTCATCTCCAACTCGTCAATTTCCGCCAGGTCAAGATTGATATTCTCAATATCTGCCTGAGTGGTTGAAACTGCATTGCTCAGTTGCTGGATACGATCTGCGTGTCGGCCTCGCCAATCTTTCATGGCTTCTTCAACTCGAATGTCCTGTGGCTCAGTGGTCAGCAAACCGCAGAAACATTATAAAAAGGTGGGAAACTGGAGATTCTAAAACGTGCTCACATCAGACTTTGTGCAGACGATCCCAACTTTGGACAACCCTGCCTGTTGCGCAAGTTCAAAGACACTTTCCACACCGACATCTGTAGTCGCCCGCCCAATGTTACATATGGCAAAAATCTCATCACATTCGACCAGATATCTTTCGGTGATAAGTCTCCGTGCCGAGTTGGAGTCACGCAGTCCTGAGAGTCATATATTAGGGATATTTGGGCCGTAACAAAGGATGCTGCACCTTACCAGGAAGGTCGACGAGGATTAGACCCTTGCTCAGAATATGTGAGGGCAAAAATACCCTGGTTCTTTCTGTTAAAAGACTTCACTATACGACCTCTGAAGTGAGGCAAGACTTACTTGATCTTACGGACGAAAGGCCAAACAGCTGGCGTTCGTGTATCTACCGATTCGGATGTCAGATACATCAGGAAAGCAGCGCAACTATCCCGCGAAGGCTTCTCATGTCTTCCTTCAAGCGGTAGGTCCACTCTCCGCAGCCAGGAACGAAAGGTTCTTAGGACAGTGGCTTCCTCCTCATTGATAAGGAAGTCTTCTCTCGCCAGCTGACCGCGGAACATGGACCGGAAAGTGTCCCGAGCGACGTTTGCTTGCTCTTCAATATCGACAACCGTTGCCGCCTCATCATTTCTCCTCAATTCTCCCGCGTTCAGGTGAAACATTCGATACGATTGAAGCAGTTCCTTCATCTGATCCATGAGCTCATCCTGACTGAATAATTCCACGTCAATAGTGAAAGCATCCCCGTCCTTATGGTGATACTCGGTGACAACGCAGGTGCATGCGGCCCCGCTATTGCTCTAGCATACGTTAACCGACGGCTGCGATGCTACGCAAGGTCTTCCATAACCTACTGTTCTAGCGAGGTTCTTTTGATCCAGAAGGGAATTCAAGACGCTACTTTTACCTGTGCTCGTAAGATAAGGTCCCTTCGATCATAGTACTAGACGCTCACCAACGCCGGAATCTCCAACAAACCCAACAGTCCGCGTCGAAGGTCCTTCAAATTGGGACAGATCCAGTGCTTGGCCATACAGTCGTCTGATTGTTGAATCGGGGTTGATGTGAAGAGGGCTGTCTTCGAGAACACCTGCCAACTGAGTCATCAATGCCTTGGCGTCCTTGATGGCATTTTGGACCGCTGGGTCGTAGAAACGACTCTCTGGCAGCTCCTCGTCCTTGACATCATGATACACCAGGGCTGCTTCAGAACGTCCCCGCGATCGACGAGGAGGGCGCGGGCTCAAGGAGTTTTGCCTAAAGGCAGGCGTAGGATTGCTTGGTTGAGGAGTCCGTCGCCCAGCATCGTCGAACAGGTTTGACAGTGCGGCTCTAATATCAGACAACCCCATATCTACTGGTGTGCGATCGAGGCGTTCGATAATCAGCCGATTCAGACGATCAGTGATGCTTCCAATCTCGGGGGAGTCCCGAGCTGGATATCGTTCCCCAGGGAGACTATCAGCAGCCCTATAGGAGAGTGAAGAGTGCGGAGCTGATGTCAGCGGGGAGGTTGATGCTGGAGCAGGCCCTGGGCGAGTAGTCGGTGTACGAGGAATCGACGCTCCAGATATTGCAGACTCTGTCCATGCCTCGGTCTCAACTGATGGAATAGGCTCATCTGGAGACACTCGTCTCGGCAATATTGGTTCCGGAAACAAGGTGTCACTTCTGACGATAGATGGAGAGCGACTCGACTCAGGAGTGAAAATTGGTGCAGACGATCCTCGAGACGTCGTCGATGCTGCTACCGACTGGTCCCTGTCTGGAAATGAAACTCGTGGAGAACCCGAGAGTGCTTGTTCCTGGGGAAACAATGCGGCCCAAGGCGGGGGTTCAGAAGCCGTGGTCCTTGGGGGACCGGCCGTGGCCGAGGATCGCTGATGGTAGTATTCCAACGTTAACTGAGTGGGCTTCTTGACGGAAAGGATTGATATTGGGGTTTCGAGGAGAAGAACTCACAACTCTTGACATCCTTTAGAACTCGGCGGTGACAGGAAAGAACCACGAAAAGCTGCGAAATCAGGCGCTTTAGCCTGGTGAGCGTGCTGCCCGCCTCTTCAAATAAGTTGGTGCTCCATTCCTCCCAAGCCGTCCCATTCACGCTAGCCCGAAAGACATAGCCTCATTGCGGTTTTGTATCCTATTACAGAGACTGATTCCGTTGGAGATATCTATTCTGGTAAAGCAAAAGCGCCCTCGCGGTGGGGGGATCATGCGGGCGAGGGCGGCGCAGACCTGTCCTGTTGGTTTCAGCTGCACACCCTGGGTCGTCGACCCAACCAACACAGATTGGTTAAGCGGGCGAAATAAGCGCCAACAGATTCTTTGGACCATGGTATGTATGCCACTGAGTCAGTCACTTGCAGAATTCTGATTCTTGGGTTGGATTCGGGCTCATTGTCACATGAACGAGTCGAGAAAGCCGAATTAGACTTGCAATCGCCAGGGCTGTCAACTTTTGTTTTAATACGCGGCCAGAGGGTCATCAGCGCTTAATAACATCAAAGTTTCTGAAGCTTGCCCGTGTACACAAGGCCATCAGGTTGCAAGTACAACCTTGTAAGTCCATGAACGGAAAAGTCTTAGGTTCGTTGTTCGGCTTATATTTCTATGATGAAGAAACCACACCTCGGCATTGTGGAAGGAGAAATAGCCATAACTAAGGCCAGTGCCATTTTGTATATGTTCTCTTTCGAACTTATCAGCTCCCCGTCTCCAAGATCTGAAATGAAAAATGTCCCAGTGATTGAAAAATGTCTCTAAGACGCGTGACTTTCCTATTTCTCTGCTCATTGTGTAGAATCCATGGTTTATAAATGATAGTGGAAATCGACCCGTAAAAGTAAACGTTGGAAAACATCATATAGAAAAGTAGAATCATGTAGGAATACCTTTTCTGAGAAAATCCTTTCAACTTTTGAGAACAGGCGGTCGCCTGGCTTTGAAGCCTCGTCTCCGGCTCCGCTAATGACTATGTCAAAGATTCATCAGCAGTCGGTGTCCATAAACTCAACATATGGCGTCTATCTTCCAAATTCAACAAGTGCAATATATTTGCCTTCCGATTTGGCGTAACATTGTGACTCTGAGGGTTTTCAAACGACCTAACTTGTTTTGCCTTTCGAAAGTTAGTGAACATCAAGCTGTCAACCAGCGAAACCTGAAACGCCTGGATTTTGTGTCAAGGAGTTCGAATCACTGTTCAGAGGATATGCTGTACCTTTTAATTGAGCTTCAACCTCTTTGATCTTTTGAAGGCGCTCTCAATAGCCAGCTGGTTTCATGAAATGCAAGTGCTCAGTGACACGAAAGTAAGCGTTGGCAACGTGGTTTTCTTTCTTCCGAGTTCATCGCCTTCAAAAATGTGTATAATTTTCTTTCGCGGCTCTGGGATTTTCTTTAAGGAAGACTAGATGCCGCCAGAACCGGTTACTCTAGTCTCAACACCCGAGACTCTAAACTTGCTCATTGGACTCTCATCAAGTTTCGCAGTGAGCAGATCCATCCTGAATTACGGCATATGGTTGGCAGGTAATGTTAGAAGTACTTGACGCAGAGACGCTCTCCTATATCACACTTTCCAACGAACTCATTCAATTCCTTAGAAATATTCATGCAAATCGTGGTCTGTTGGCTACAGACACTTTGCAGCCGAATGTCTTGATAATTGACTCACTACCCCATAGTCCTTAGCAAGGAAGTCGGCGCTTCGGGAGTTGAGAACATTGAACACCACATGGTTCAAGTATTATGTCTGACTGCTGATGTGAACGTTTCACTGCATTTTTGTCTATCGATCTGGATCTCAACCTAGTGTAAACATACAAATGGACCAGCAACCTTGGTGCTGTCAGCCATGAGCTCTTTGGCAGAACTTCACCTCTGACAACTGTCTCGGCATGACTATGTGCTTGGCAAATCTAGCCTACTATCAATTTGCTAAGTCTACTTATGTTTCCCTGGAGAAAGTGTGATGACTGACAGGTTCTACGCAACCCAGATGGAGATACCGCTTTGACTAAGAGAACATATGCTCCAACATTCCTGCATCATTCCTCACAGTCAGTAAATCTAGGTTGAGTCCACCTAGAAGACTAAACATCACTTATAAAGCTTGAACTACATCGCCCCGGAGTCAGGAAGACAGTATCAAACCGTCGCTACCATTAAATATACCAAAAAGTGGTCCAAATGCTTACACCAGACATGATTGTATCGTTAGCAATTCCTTTTGGGGAGACTATCACTTCAAGTAAGGTAACTAACTACACCTACCTCGTTGGATAGTGGATCAACTCACATTTTTACGTAGAGGCATGAGGATCTCATTATTCAAGGCTGCCCTACAAGTAGAGACTCGAAACAGTACATTCTGGGACACCTGAGTTTTGTTTGAATCGCATATTTCACTTCGGCAACAAGACGCATCAACCCACGGTCCTGCTATGAGCAACAGACACTCGGTCGTCTTCAAGTTTTCTACTCACAATTCGAAAACCAGATCGATCGGCCAAACAGCGCCGTACGTACATATTCTATCAATTGATTAAAAACAAAAGACCACGAGAACACAAAGCCCCCAGTAGGCTCATCTCTCAACATAGACACCATCCTCTATCCGGCATACAACCTACGTAGTATCACCTCTATGACTGAGCTCTCAAGTACAGAGCAACAGATCCAACCCGCTACTACGCAACCGACCCGATGTCGACTCAAGATGTGCATTCTCACCCCCAAGCCCACGTGATCGCAAGCGCCCTCATACCCCGTCCGTGGTGCCATCTGGAGATTCGCTCCTCTTCAGTGATCTTCTGAAAGTACTCTGCCTAACAAACTAGGCAAGAACAAAGCTCCCTTCTCGGGCCTGACGCTAAGAGAAGGGGAAGAGGCGGGGAGTGTCTTGCATCAACAGCTTTGCTCGCGCCAAAAACTCGGCAATCGGACTCGGTTCTCCCAAGCTTCGATCTTGGCCGACGGAGAGCGATGTAGCTGAGCATGATGGGATTGAGCTTAGAACCGAAGAATAGGTTCCATCAACGATAAACGACATCAATCAAAACTCCGCTCTAAAGCCACAAGTTCCTCGATCGATCCGGTTTTCATATTGGGTTCCAGGCCATTCAAAGTTTTCCATCCCCGGGGCTAAGAAAAACGGTGTACGGAGCTGTCCATGAAGATCGTCCCTCAGCTCCGTGTGCGTGGCTACCATAGGGGTTCTTTAAGCACCGAGGATGGTGCGGCGATATCCACGTTCCTGACGATCTCTAGTCCCACGAGGTAGAGCCGCAGAGGGCTTGGTGAAAAATCACGACCGAGAAATGAATGAAACCAATCACCATCGAAAAACACAACCTCGACCACAAATTACCTACCATGTTCCGTTTCTCTGAGCCCCAGCAACGCCAACAAATGGGGAATCCCAAAAGGCCCTCAAGCTGGTTTGGCAGCTCGGGAACGCACACAAGCTGAAACCGCCACTTGCGTAGTTGGCGTCGAAAAAACGGCTACCAATTGTGGGGGTTTAGGGAAACACCTGATGAGAAATGGATTAGCCGAGGTGGGACGGCGTCAAGGAAACAACACGTAGTAGTCGCTTGCGTTTAACAGATCGAGATCGAGATGGCGGGAGAAATTGACGCATATCCGACCGAGGGTTCTCCGCAGACGCGTCGGCCATGTCGTTGATGATGATGATGAGCAGTCGACACAACCGGCGTCGACAACGAACAAAGAAGAGGGTGCCTCCGCTCTCTGTAGCTTGGCCCGAATAAAAACATTCTCAACCGAGAGGATCTCTAAACGCGCGTGTGTCCTGTTTGCCTTCCAAAAGGCCCGAATCATACAGATAGATGGCAAACAGGTCTAAGGGGTCATCAGTACCCTCAAGAACCCCCTATGGTCCCTATCCAAATCTTGATTCGCGATGAGATCTTATCCGCTCAATCAGCCAAACTAATTAACCGAAAGGGCAAAGTCACCGAAAGGAACAGATGGATCTTGCGTCGCCGGCCGGCCGGGCAGAAAAAAAAATACACCACCGAAAAAGTAGAATGCGTAATAGGTCTTCGTCAAACAACTCCACATCAAGGCCGGCGCCGTTTCGGGCTGCGCGGATCACCCGGATTCCGACGCTAGTCGTTTTCCCCGGCGAAGATCCTCATCTCGGGCGGGTCGGCGAGCGAGAAGGAAAAGGAGCAAGGGGAAAGAAAAGTGGAGCGAGACCCGTCAAGCAAGTTATCGTTTGGTTCAACCGTTGCCGTGGCTCATCGTCTAGACAAGTATGAACCAACCACTGAACCAACCCCTTACCAGCATCCATAGTGTTCTTTTGAGGATTCGAGCCTCTGACGTCCAAATCCCGCTGTTTCCACTCCGCTTCGCTATTACCAACGTCTCGAAAAGCTGGCGGTCTGGTAGCTTGCCCTGGGAGACGAGAACGAAAACGAGGCAGTCTTTTATGAAGCTTTCGGTTCGGGCATTGTGATTCTGTCTTGCCTACGTGGAAACATGGTCTACCTTAGTTTTCGCAACGTGGAAGGGGCGTGTATGCTGGAAACGCATGAATCGTGTAGAGCAGATAGACGTAACGTTCGAAGACCGCGCTAATCATGAAGAGGGTAAGAGACGAGCAACGGTGAAGTATCAAAGAACAATGGTATTACGCTTGATATACGACAAACTTCCGCCCCGGGGGTGAGGTCACACTTCTAGCTCTACGTTCGGACCTCTCACAACTCGGCACTCCGGTCCGTCAGCGGTCTATTCCGCGCCAGTACCAGATCCACCAGCTCCTTGCCGGGGAAGTCGATAATCACGATACCCGTCATCCCGCTGTCACCCCGGTCCGCCGTCGCAGCGAGCCAGTCGCCGGTGCGGTCGTTGATGCCGGCCACCGTCCGGTTCAGGTTCCCCGCCGCGGCCTCGATGGGCAGCACGCCGACGCTGGCGCTCAGGTGCGCGAGGTAGAGGACGCGGTTAGCGTGCGGCTTCGCGGTGGCGGCGCGGCGGAGGGCGTTCTCGACGGCCTCCCACTTCATGTAGAGGTGCTCGACGCTGGGGATGATCCAGAGGTCCTCCAGGACCATGTCGGCCGACTCCCAGATGACGCCGTAAGGGCTCTCGGGGCCCTTGGAGGGGAAGTTTTGCAGCAAGAAGATCTTGCCGCGGAGGGCGCCGAGGGTCGGGTAGGGCTTGCGCGGGTTGTGCTTGCGGAAGTGGGATTTGGCGCCGGGGGAGGTGGCGGTAGAGTTGTGCAGGTAGTAGTTGAAGGCGTCCTCAAAGGTCATGCTGTTTGTGCCGAGGGGCCTGCCCTCCTCCTTGAGGCGCATGACGATGGTCTCGCTGGGGTGGTCGTCGAGGAAGTCGAAGAGGGTGAGGAGGACTTCCGTGTAGGAGTGGCCCGTGTACATGGAGGCGTGGTAGATCTCTATGGAGTCGTTGACGAGGCGGCCCCGGATGTCGAGGTAGCGCATGCCGGCGTGCAGCTGGGCTGAGAGGTTGTGGTTCTGGCATTGGAAGACCTGGTTTGTGAGGTCGTAGGTGAGGGTGTCGTGGGTGCCCGGGATGGAGAGGGAGGTGAGGTTGGCCTCGTCCGGGATGGCCTTCATCCATTCGGCGTGGTCGGCCTTGTCGACGTCGAAGGAGTAGTGGGATTCATAGCCGCGGTAGCAGTGGTTCTTGGACTTGACGAAGCAGGGGGCTAGTGAGAGAAGGACGGAGAAGAGGGCAGAGACGAGGAGGAAGAAGGAGAGGACGTAGAGGAGGGGCATGCAGTGGAAGCGCATCTTGTGAGGCTACACCGCGGTCTATAAACCGCGGGGGTGTGTGTGAGAGTGTGTGATACAGGGCACGCGTAAGTGGGTGAGTGAGTGATACACACACTGGTTTGAAGTGAGTGAGCGAGTGAGCGGGATGAGTGAGGTTGTACTGAGATGCAGAGACGCGGACGGGGGGGTGTGATCCGAGAGGTCCGCGATGCACGGATGAGGTTCCTCTCTCGGGTGAGACGCGGATGACGGAGCTCCTGGCACCTTGTTTGGCTCGCTCGCGGTGCGGTGCTCTGCAGGACTCCGGCACGGAGAGGGTCCCCACCGCAAGGCTCGGCAGCAAAGTCTTGTTGGAACCGTTGAAGAAAAGGGGGATATGCCCGAGACTCGGTTCTTTGAAATGACGTCCAATTAGGTACACAAGAAGAAGAAACGATGTACAAACAGCAAAAACCGAGTCTCCCACACGTTACTTCTCCCACACACTCTCTCCAAGGGAGTAGTCAGAAAAAGAGAAGGTTTGGGGAGGGGGACGGGGCGCGGACATGTGAGGTTCAGCTGCTTTTACTGTTGAGGGAGACTCGAGAGTGAGAAGTGAGAATGAGAGTGAGAGTGAGCGTGAGCCTCAGAGCTTAGCCGAGCGTCACGTCACTGGTTTCCTCCCCGTTGGACGTCCGCGGCGTGGCTCACCTTTGGAGGGCCCACGTGCGCCGCGTGAGAATGAATCGAAGACCGCACCAAAGTTGTTCCGGAACTGCCTTTGCCTCCGGGCGGGACGCGGGCGGCTCAAAGCGCTCCACCATCTTTTTTGCGGGTTGCCCCTGAGATTATAGGGGTTATCCTGACATTGGGGGAAGCAATCTGTGAACTTGAAAAGAGGTTGTAACGTGAGGCAAGTCGTTTGAATCCATCACGAAAATATCAGCATCGTGTACGACTGTGCCAAGCTTGGATACTGGTCCCGTAGGTACGGACACCATATCCCAAAGCCACTAGATAGGGACAGGCGATAAGACCATGGGATCAGCACATAAGTCCACTGTCCAGGGCCCGTAGGTCACGGCGGCACAACCGTACTATTACAGGGCAACGCTCTGCCCCCGCGTGCGGCATCGGCGGGAACAGCACGCGGCCGATCCTGGCCCGGCCACCGCCGAAACAACGACAGCTCGGCCCGCCAACCAATCCTCAACCGGCAGTCGGATAACCTTTCGAGTGCTCGGCTATCATGGGTTATGTTCTGCCGCCATGTCTTGTGTTCTCATGATCCCCCCTGTTCTCAGAGACAGCTTCGCGAGACGACTTCATCTATCCAGAACTCGAAGAGCGTCGCACGAAAGGACATGGTGAAATGGTGAAACCACACGGGGGAACATGCGGTGAGTCGGGCGTGTAACATCACACAAGATAAACAAGAAACAAGGCCGAAAACAAGTTGTTGGAAAAAACAGACATGCAAACGCAGCCAGCCGGCATGCTGGCACCCCGGCTGGATGGTCACGCATCTCGTTACTTCTGCTCCTCCCCCCACGTTTGCGATGGGCAAGGTGGTTGGGACCTGGGACCGTTGATCATTGATGGAGGTAGTCCCCCGCGCTGCATTTCCGACTCGTTCGGCCGGTATACTCTCATCTGCGAGTCCTTTCGAATCGCAAGATAGTCTGAATCTGCGTCTCGCGACATGTCTTACCTGGTGCTGCTGCGGCTTCACACTCTCAGTCCATTTTATGATTTGACTCTTACCGCCGCAACCGCTGTCGCCCGACTTGATTTGTTCGTAAACAAGAACCTCTCCAACCTCTCTGTTTTCATCAATGAACCAACCATATTCCCTAAAAGCGTACATTGAACCACAAATACCCCCCAAGGCCCTGTCCTGTCAACGCACATTTCCGCTGCCTGGTGCTGGGCCCCGCACCGAGCATATCTCCACCGAAAGCGGGCAGTCACGCTGCACCTGTGCGGATGCGTACATGACGTGACCCGCCGCCTTACGCTGTGATAAAGCTCTGTCCACTTGAGCGTTCTTGATATTCTATGGATGATAGAGTTCGTCGAGCACAGGTTGTGACCTGGGTTCGACCATTGACGATCTTACATCGTTCGGTGTGGCTGGATAGCGGGGGTAAGGCGTCGAGTAGCAAACCGGAATAGAGGCGTGGATGTCCGTTCTCGCGGTACACTGAAGTCAATCATGGCACCATGATGCACAAGTATTGTTGATGCAAGGAATTCTCGCATTCTTCATGAAGTTTTGGTACGGCTTATCACGCTGGCAGGATAGTGCTTGATATTGAAGTACTCTCCAACCAGTGTTCAACCATTTCAGAGGGTTACAATTGTGAGGCTGAAAGGGAACCAGAAATAGCTCAAGTCTGGATTACTATCAAGAAAAGCCTCCTCGTCCCTGGTCAAGCGATAACACCCTCAGAGTTTTTGACAACGACTGAGGAAAAGGAGGCTCAATCACACCGTCTTAACACGAAACGACGGGAAGTCTGGAGGTAGGTTAGTTAAGCTATATGCCAAATTCTTATTGGATTGCCAGGCGGTCGCAATCTCGACAGTGACAGTGGCAGTTCCCATTGGCACCTCGTAACACGAGTCCTTTCTTTGACACTGACAGGTTAGCATCGGGTTTCAGAAAAGCACGCCTTCAGCCTGGTGGTGGTAGCAGCAGCTCGTGCGATTGCCAACCTCGACTGTGATCCTTCAGGTTGATGACTGGGCAGTGATGAAGGTGGTTCGACGCTGACGAAAGACACTCGTCCACGTCGAGGAATCCTTCCATCATGACAGCGTGAAGCGAAACATCCACTGCCATGAGAGCAAAAGACTGTAACGGCCTGCAATGTGACGGCCAAGACTCCTTTCTCGCCACTTGTATACTGTACTGCGTATCACGGGCACGGCAGAACGTGCCGCGGACAGCTTGCCATCCAAGAGCCACAAGTCGAGCACGTCAGGACTTCCGCAGTCATAGCTCCTCCTCCAGCTTCAAGGCTTACCACTCAACTACTGTAGAAGCACAGCTATGGCCCCGTACAAGTCCAACTGGCAAGCCCGGCATCGCGTATCTTGGTCCGTGTTCATGGCCTGCATCACTAGTCCCCGTGGATAGAGGGGGGAAGACTGGGAGAGGAGCTCGGGAAAGGTTGTAGCCAAAAAACTAGTGCGGCGCACGAACCCGATGAAGAGGGTTTCCATCTCGAACAATGGGATGGACAGGCAGTGTAAAGTTGGAGGGTGGAGTAGAAAAGCGAGAAGCAGATGTTAGACAAGAAGCTCCCGAAATCGCCGCCGACGCCGACGCCGTCCCTCTCCGTGAGTATTCCCCTCTCCTGCCGCCGTGGTATGGTAGCGTTGAGCATTCATCCCCCAAGCTAACGAGACTCATCCAAGAAACAACAACAAGACCATGTGAGAGTCAAAGTCTGCTTCCCCCAGAAACATCTGATTCCCGAGGCCTTTTGCCGCCCGCGGAAACAAATACAAAAAAAAGATGAGATGACTTTTCTGGGTGAACCGCCCGCATGCTCCCAGCTCTCAATCCCGCCCCCCGACGGCTTCATGTGATCCGAATCGCGCCTCGTATCCCCTCAATCTTTCCGGCATCCAACCCCCATCCCTTTTCGTATGCAGGCGTCGCGCTGCATACAACCCACCATCAAGTCTGCAACCACCACCACCACCACCAACAGTACCTCCACCACAGAGAAGAGAGGAGGGAACTGCTCGTCGTTCACATCATTAGGAAAAAAAGGCCATTCGCCAATCGCGCGCGAGAGGGTAGGTCCCCTGCGATTTCGACAATAAGAGCCTCCAAGAAAGATCGTCCCCCTCCCTCCTCTCTACAATGTACATGCATACATGCAGTCACGATATGAACGGCGTCCCGCGTCTCGCTTGGCGGGTTACACCGATTTGCGGAAGAGCCAAGAAAACCCAAGAGGAGACCAGCACTCGGGACACTGAGACTCCGGGGTCCATTAGTGCGGATGAGTCTGCGATCTTCTTCGCGCTGCCGCCATTCGTTTCAATGCTGCAGGTGTTTGAATAGTGCGAAGGACTGGGATTTGAAAGGTTCAAGAAAATCAGAAGATAGAAAGAATAAAAAAAAAAGAGGTAGGCCAAAACCACCTTGTTCCTTGTACGGAGGAAACGCCGCACCTATCGGGCCTTTGGAAACCAAATCTTGTTTCTTTGCTGCCATCGGTCGATGGCAGGTAGGACCTTGTCAAGTTGTCATTTTTTGGTTACCTACCTTACCGCAGACAGTAGCCTGCTCGCTGCCGATTTTGCCCCGCAGCCGACTCCGCATCCATTGGAGATGGTTGAATTGACTTTTTGGATTTTGGATTTTTGATTATTTATTTTTTCGAGATCCTCCCCGGGGGGCCGGAGCAGATGGCTCTGTCTGCGGAAGCGATTCGGCCTTTTTGGTTTTGACAACTCCGTCCGTCACCAAAGAGTTGTAATGCGTGGGCAAAGTGTAGAGCACACACCCAAGCTTCTCGCATCTTCCAAGCAAAAGTGAAGTCATGAGCAGAAATATCGTGCAAGAAACTATGCCGCGGATTTGCGACCCTCTGTGCCAGCCTGGTGACTGTGGAGGCAAGAGAGAGAGAAACCAGCCCCCGGATCCGGCACCGCGTTCACGCATACGATTTTGCGGCATGAGGCCCGATTCGTGCCGAAATGGCGTGGCATCTACGGCAGGATTGGTCCCCTCTGTCTTCCGGGAGGCCTTGTTTATCAGATGCAGATGCAGATGTAAACCACGAGGTTGGTGATACGAAGTCGAAGCTCGTCGTGTGGTGGTAAATCGTACCCACGCTTTGTCATGGGGATGTCAGACTAACATGATGAATTCTCGCCGCATGGTGTGCCGGACTGTCAATATCATGATGCGACGCAGGTGAGCCTTGTCAGAACAAGTTGTAGCTTGTAAGGCAGTCTGGGCAGCGCATAAGATTGAGCTCTTGCCGAAAGTCGGCGAGGTTTGTGAATATGGGGCCCCGGTCTCCGATCGGAAGCTTCAGGCGGGCGTGAACTTGAAGGTTTTCGGCGTTCCGGGGGTGGTGGGATGAATGAGCGGCGGGGAATATCGTGGCACACCTATTCCATCGTCCCCTAGCCACCCGTCCTTTTCTTCTGTGAAGCATTACTGAACAGAAGCGAGTAATTATGTCTCCGGGATCCTCCAAAACAGTTGAACCAACTACTGCTTGTGGCGGGGTTCTGGAAAACAAGTGCCGCAATATTCTGCCTCTTTGCCCAGGTGGCGCATCTAGGCTGATGTTTCGAGATAACCATGGTACCAGAAGGTAGAACTTGGAAGCTTGCCCGCCACCCCTGCGGCTCCGGTTGTTTGGATGCATGCGACCATTGCCTCGAGCGTTGCCGAATGGGGCCTAAGCGCTCCCCGACGTGACCACGGTCATGGATTCGCACGGTTTCTCTACAACTTGCTGGTGCTGATAGAAGCCAGGATGCTGAGGATTTCGTCCAGTGTTCCTTTCTTTGCTGGAACGATAGCTTCGATTTACCGGACATGGGATGTGTTGAAGACCGGGATGACAAGCGTGTGTGTCCAAGGCAGAGCAACTCGGAGGGTGACAGTGGCAGGCACACACACAATTAACAGAAAGCGGCCCAAGAGCCAAAACAGCACGACCAAGTCAGTAAAGCACTGCCGCATGTGTTTGGCGCCGGTGCTCCTGCCCTGGGAAGGGGAAGGCTCGTCGATGCTCACAAATCAAAATCAATGGTTCCCAACGAGCAAAAGGGGACATACCCCTTTGCAGCAAGAGGGTAAGGTACGGTAGTCAGGGAGAGCGTTGAGGGTGTAACCTGATGCGGCGGCTTAGGCCATGATGGGGGAACTGTAACGGGGGGGCTTTTCCCATCGTAGCAGCAACGCTAACACGCATTTTGTCGCGGTGCTATGCTGTTATCGGCGCGCCAGGCGAGTGCGTGTATGGTGAATTTGAACTGGTGTGTTTGGTGGGTGTGAGTGCGGGTGAGAACGTGGGAGAGGAACAGTTCCATGACGAGAACAACAACGGACGCGATCCGGCTGCTGGACTGAATGCCTATGCAGATGGACGTGGCCTGGTATCTGGTGTAGATGAATCATGGACGTGAGCCGAGAGAACCGTGCAGAATGGAGTGTAATGGACCAGAAATGACTCGGCGTGCCAGCGGGCTCTGGCCTCCAGGTAACCCGCTCCGGGACCGTACTTGTCTATCATCGTCAGCCCGTCTGGGCGGGCAACGACACCAAGCAAGAGATACGAAAAATAGGCCGGAAAGCGGTGCGAGTAAAAAGGTATGTATTCGAAGTCCGGGGCAAGATGAGAGCAGTCGCTGACAGCCCGGCAAACAATGGGATATCCAGGCGCCATGTCCACGGCTAAGTGAGGTAAAGTATCATATAGTAGACATGTTATTAATGTCGTTTGCGCCCCCGAAACAACCGGCGACCCCGGCCATGGTGTTCCTGACCTCGTATAGAGCGACTACCTCTCTGCAAACAATATTGTTGAGGAATAGCCTGTGAGAGGTGACTGAGAGCCAACTCGTAAACAGAGAACAAGCAGGACTTCAATGCCGGATGGGGATAAGACGAGGAGAAGGTAGCAACCGGCCAAAAGGATGCGAGAAGAACCGAATGCTGGTGAGATAGACTTGGTGTCATTAGTATGAGAGCGAGTGAGTACGAGTGACATGAGGTGTTCTCAGCACAGCAACAATGGCCCCAGAGACCGAGAGGCAGGATGAGACGGACGAAACGTGGCCGCCTTGCACGTAAGAACAAGCGAGTGTGAAATGTCCGTAAAACAAATGTCAATGTGGAGGTTTCTGAATGTGGAGGTTTCTGTCTGATGGTGGATGCATTCACGACTCAGACATTTTTTGGGAACAATCAGCAAAGTGGGCGGAATAAGATAAGCAACAAGATTGAAGGGGTTGATTTAGACGTCGAAATGTCCAACCACGTTAAAGCTTTTGGATTCCCCGGAGCCGCGGGAATTGGACTGCAGTCAAGGCTCAAACATGACGCTGCAGCGCGCATCTCCGACATCGTATTCACTACGGCATGGTGTGTGTTGTTCTGTGAGTGTGTTGCCTCACTCGAGGCGGATCAATTATCCATCCACCCACCCATCCATCCATCCCTCACCGATTGAATGAGCGAATGGGTGACAGCGAGGGCGGGCGGTAAAGCAAAATAGCATGTTCCAAAGTTGGCAGTGTAAATTGGATCCGTGGAGGCGCCTACCCTTGCTTGTGTCTGGTATTTTAGCGACGAGATCATCGCTGTGGGGGAGAACTCTGTCGCTGTTCCAGCGCTTGACTTCAGCTGATGTTGTACCCGGGGGTTTGGGGTATCGGAGTTGGGGGCCTTTTGGGGAGAGCTTGAAGGCCTTGGGTGAGGGGGAAAGGGAGAGAATTTGAGTGAGACAGAGACAGCCGCTGAAGGCAGCTGAGAAGACGTCGGGCTACGGCAAGGAATGCAGGCATCATGCCTCCCGGGTACGCATGTCTAGTTTGTGTTGCCAGGCACGGCACAAGCGGCCAGAGAGACAACGTATCCATCCGTATCCAGCTGTTTTTTATGTTGTTTTTGTGCCATGCCAGATCCACCTATCAACGAGCATAGAGACAAAAGAAGTCAAGCGCTTGCTGGTCTGTGCTTTCTGGAGCTTGAGAGTGGAGAGTGACGACATTCAACATGGGCTCAGGGGATTAGGGGTGTGAAAGGAGCAGGGGTAAAGTAGAGAGGCAGCAGGGGGTTCTTGAAGGTGCATCTTGGGAGTGACAGATCATCCATCATTCATTCGAGTCTCTCTCTCACTCAAGTCCGAGACCCATACTGCGTAGATGGAGAACAAAAGATCATGAAGAAGAAGAAGGATGGAGTTGGCGGCGGTGATAAACATTTGGCTGCCGCCGCGATGCCTGCCGCTTAGACAGCATTGATGGGATTGACAGACTCTCAGTCATTTCGACACGGCGGCGGGAGGAACGCAAGATTGAGATTGACGGACGCCGCGTCTGCTCATCCACTCACACAGCCGCATCGTTGGTTCGTTCTCGGGCACTTCTGTCGGTCCGTCCGCATGCTGCGTTTGATTTGGATGTTCGTCGAGACCCCTGCAAGCTCGACTAACAGTGCGCTGCTCACGACGCCACAGCCGGTCTAAGCTACATCAGGCCGAGCTCGGGATGGATGCGCCGGGCGCGCGCGAAGCGGGACTCCTTGGGCCATCCTGCTGTGACCGGGATGTCGTGTCGACTTCAGTGCCAATGGTGGGGGGTTTGTGGTTTTGGCACCTCTCTCGCTGATTGTCCGTCGGCTGGAGATAATTAACTCCCCTGCCGTAGGGCAGCTTGAAGAGTCAGGGAAACCAGGTCCAAGATGGCGAGGACGGCGAAGGGTCGGCGAGCATTGTATAGGCAGGGCGAAAAGACGAAAGGGTCCTTTTGGTGCTGACTGAAGTACGAAGTATTAACTTCCGCTTGTTGCACTTGGTTATCTTTATGCAAGTTGTGTCGTCGTGAGGAAGGGCTTGTTATGCGGTTGGTCACAAGTGGCATAGCCGGTATATCTGCTGTGTATACGGAGTATCGCTCTCTGCTGTATCTTTGTTAGCTTGCGGCTTTCACAAGACAGGCAGGAGGCGCACTTGCTGCTATCCCAATCGCAGGGCTCATGGCCGGCCGGCCGTCCACTGACCCGGATTGGATGCGAATGCAACGGTAAAGTTGCAACGTCGTTACACACATGCTTGGGTACCATGTGCGTGGTGATGGTCTTCAATATTTCTTCTGGCGTCTCTTATTAGGACAGTGCTCCTTAGAGTATTCGTAGCTTGAGGTACTATGGGCGGCACGCGTCCACATATCGAGAGGGTTGTGGTTTGTCGCTGAGCGTGTTCCATCGACCGCCACCAGCACCGAGTTCGTCTCTGGCGGGCCATTCGCAAGCTCGCACGCGGACGAACGCACAACATGCGTGAGGATGATCCAGCGGGTCCTGCTGTTGGGTTTCTCAACTGTCGTGTTCCACTCTGATACTTGGAGAGAAGAGCATTGGCATTGGCACGTCCAATCGGATGAAAGATGCGATGGCCTGTTATTTTCTTGGGTGCAATTGGGATCGAGGAGCATTGTAAGAAACACACAGAGAAACACACAGAGCGAAGAAAGAGCCCAGAGAACGTGATCGAGGTGAGCTGAGGAGAGAGTGTGTGTGGACTTTGGACTGTTCGCAGTATCTATGTACATAGTACACAGCAGAAGCAAGAACCACCCACCCCCGTCCTGGTTCCTTCCTGGCCCTGGTCGCAATCAAATGGGGTCGTGTCCTTCCTGCCTGGTCCTGGTTTGATGGCCCCACTCCAGTCACGTAAAACCCACTTTTTCTTTTTTTCTCTCCTTCTGCAAGGCAAGTTCCAACCACCCGCTCATTGGGCTTTCCTTCCAATTCCAATGTTGCAACTTTGCTGGTGCTGGTTGGCAGGTGCTGCAGCCTGTCAGTGACTGCTGCTGCGTGCGTCGTTCTTGGCTTTTGGTGGTCGTTGCTCGGCTCGTGCTCGCCTCATTCGTCTTCCACACACGGACAGTTGCCATCCCATCATCCCAAGAAATCCACTCCATCACCGTCTTGTCTCTAGCGTCTAATCCTCCTTCCCCCCGTCGTCCTCCTCGGATTTCCCAATTGTGCCATTCTAAATTTCTACTGATACTCCTCATGCCCATGCCAATTCATGATCATCCATGGTATCCGTAGCCACCGTGACACGCCCCCCCCCCTCCATCCACGATCCCTACCTCTTCTCGCTCCCAGAAAACAGCCCGCAGCCGTGACCTGGCTTCTGCCTCTTTACCTGTAACTCCTCTTCCTCGATCCACCTTCTTTTTCGATATTGGAATCTTCTCTCCTTCTCTCTTCTTCCTTGCCTACCTAGCTAGACCTCCTTCGTTTCCCTTATCCTTTTCTTGTCATTATCGTCAACTTTTTCTTCTCTACGCTATTCCTAGTGTTCCCACCCGTTCTCTGCCTCCGCCTTCGCGCCTTTGTCTCTGTTGGTGAACTTGGTGAAGCAAGCATCCCCCGGCAAGACCGACAAGAGACACACTCATAAATCTCTGTCTTCGTACCTACGCAGTATTCGCACTCCGTCCAGATACAGAGGGGGAATACACCACCACCACCACCACCACCATCACAATCGCTTCGCTGCAGCTCTTGCCTGCACCCAGTCTCTCGTTTCCCTCCCCGGCCCTTGCTTGCTTGGGTCTTGGGCCCTGGGTCTTACTCCCAGCTAGCTACCTTAAGGTGCTGTCGCTGCTAGCCTGCTGCATTTGCCCTGTTGCCGATGCCGTTGTAGCTGCAGATACCGGTTAATACCTTACGAATTGCATTCTGCTGCTTCTGCTGCTCGGCACCAACCACCAATTCCACCTCGCTCGCTCGCTCGCTTGTCCACTTTCTTCCCTGCTCTTGCGGCTTGTCTCCTTCCCTTCGCTTCCTTCCTCTTGGCGCCTGCCTGACCATCACCACTTCTCCAACACCACCCTCACTTCACCTCTTTCCTCCACACCTTCTCCTCCTTCCCTCCTCCTCACTCTCTTCCCCTCCCCTCCGCCATCCGGGCCACGACCACATCACAGCAAGGCCGACAACCTTCTGGACGACAAAGACAGCATCGGCCCTGACTGATTGACAGACCCTGCGCATCCCTGACCCTCAGGCCACACCTTAATCGAGGGAACAAGGACGCTGTTCATTAATAAAAAGAGGGAGGACCATAATTATACTCGGACTCTTGCGCACCCGGTCGTCTCGTTGCTCTTGTCTCAAAAGGTCCCCAATTCTTATCCTCAATCATCGCGCTAGTTGTCTCTAGGGGCAATCATCTCAGTCACTGATCCATCGGTGCTTGGCTACTCTCGGCTGCCAGTAATTATTCGCCGCGTTCACTCTTGGGTTTTCACATCCGAACCCTTTCGCCCTCTTTCCCCATTCACACTCGGCGCCAACAAATCTCGTACCAAACGCCACGGCCCGGCCTACTTGCCTTCCCATTCTCCCTCTCTCCCACCTCCCGGCCTCAACCTCATTCGAGTCGGCACCTATCTTGCCGCCTTCACCCTTCCAGTTTCAAGCAACGATAGTCGATACTCGAAATTCGGACCAGCTGCGGACGACACTCAAGGTCATCGTCAACGACTCCTGCGGTCTCTCGCTTGCCTGCGTGGTCGCGTAGGACAGGCACAGCATCTTACCTTTGGGAGCACCTTTTAACCTTTCCTCCCGCCGCCCACCGACCGATCCAGACGTCAGATGTCAGCCCCGTGAGCGTCTGACTCCAGCAAGTGTAAGTCCAGAGTCCTGAGAAGTCCAGCCATTGGTTACGAGTTTATTTTGTGAACCTAAAATTACTTCTTCCCCCTCAATCTCGAATGTCTATACTGACCGAAAATCTCTCAGTACAATTGTCTATCGGGACCGATCCATCATGACTTTCACCGAACGAACGACGAGATGCTTGGGCATCTTTGCCTTGGCGCTATCATCATGGGCGACAATGGCACAGGCTGCGCCAGAACCCGAAATCCTCATGCCTCGACAATTGACGCAGAACCTCTGCTCTAACACGAACACGGCATCCATGAGCGCAAGTACGTTGGAGTCCTCCCAAGAAGACATGACATGGCAACGCTACTTGAGGCTTTCAACATCTTCGGCCAGCTCTGCCTTTGCCTTCCTCTGCCCACGCGCATGCAATGGCTAATTCACATCTATAATAGATCTCAGCACATGGCAGACGAATGGACTATGCACCGACTTCTGTCGAGACAAGAACTTCGCCTTTGCCATTGTCCAGTGGCAGTCCTGCTGGTGCTCTGATGTCGCGCCGGCCGCGTCCAGCGAAGCCGAAGTGAGCGACAAATGCAATGATATCTGTCCCGGCTACGATATCGAGCACTGCGGCTCAAGGCCCAACTACTACGGATACCTGACGCTGGCGAAGACTCCTACCAGCACCGCCGTCAGCGGAGGTGACAGCTCGTCATCGTCCAAGGCAGCAGCCAGCACTACTACACAAGTGAGTACAATCCCCTCAGCCATGTATCGTGAAGTGCATGCGTGATTCTGCGTGATCTCCATTCCCTACACGATCCCGAACCTCATCCCCAGACTCCATCGTCTCACCTCCACCACGTGTGATGCCTTGGCTTAATCGTCTGGAAACCAGGCCCCTCCGGCCCCGCCTGCAACAACCGTACAAGTCATCACAACAGTAAAAACTGAGACAATTCAGAACACAGTCACGCCCGATCCGGAAACGACGACTACGTCAACAACATCTGTATGCTCTCAAAAGTCCCAACAACATGCCGTGCCCGTAAACCTGCATTTGTCAAATGAGGGGGTGTGTCACTGACACGAGCAAACGCTGACTGAGAATCCAGACTTCGAGTAGTAGCAAACCGAGATCGACGGTTCAAACGGTGACAGCCGACGGAACCGTGAGGACCATCTTCGTTACGCCGACTGCCACGGGCACCGAGGGAGCAACGGGCGCCTCCGAACTGACGCCTGGCAGTCAATCGTCGTCGAATGGACCCAGCACCGGTGCTGTTGTTGGAATCGTGGTTGGTGTTATTGCCGCTGTTGTGGCCATTGCAGGACTGGGACTCTTCTTGTTCTTCAGACGTCGGAGACAACAGCAAAACGAGAACGACAAGTACGACGAGCCTAGCCATCGTGGTAGTTCCGCCGGCATGACCGGCTCGCCACGAAACCCCGAAATGGTTGTCACTGTTGATGGAGGACGATGGGATCCCGACGCCTCAAGCGATCATCGCCGGAGCCGCCTTCTCGCTCATGATCCTCGCCTGGATCCTCTTCCGAGAGGCCTCTACGTGCACAATAAGAGTGCAGAGAGTATTAATACCCTACGCGACGACCAAGATTACTCCCGCAAGGTTCATCAACCAGTCTTGCGGGCGACCAATCCGGATCCTGACACTTGAAGGTCGATGGAATGATCGGGCGGACCAAGACAACGAGATGTCATACACTCGTTTACGACGTACACGAATTCGGTCCAGGTACCAATTTTCGGTCTTCGCATTGCGTTTTTGAGATACCAGGACGGCGTTTCCATTCATTTAACGACTCTGCATAGAAGAATTCTGGATTGGGTGGCCCTCACGGCAACACCAGGCGTGATAAGGTTGATCAGTTAGGATCGACATCCGCCGCAGTACATTATGGGCATAAGGCCACTGAACACGAACACGAACACATCACATGGGCAACACGAACGCAGAGGACGACGGCTGCCATAATTTCAATTCTCTATCTCCCCTTTCGACTGGTGGTTTGGGAGTCGTCGACAGCCCAAAGGCGATCCTCAACATCGGCGGGGTTTCCTTACAAGGCCGAGCCAAGTGATCGTAGACGAAGAGCCCTGCCTTCCCAGTACGAGAGTCGGGCTACGATTCTTAGGGTATGACGATGGCGGCATTTGTACATACACGAGCGGGCCATGAGCCAACAGCGAAACGACTTGGACAAATTCACGATGGATGGGTGAGATTGGTTACAAATGGTAGCAGTTTTGGCACCATGCCTCTTTCCATGGGCACACACTTGTGGGTGACGATGCATCCACGACACCTAATAGAGTGACCCGGGACTGCGGAGGTTGCACGAAGCTGGTCGAGCTGAGCCCAAGATGGAGGCCTCGCGTCGAGGTTATAGGCTGTGTAGCCCGTCACCGGATGTCTTGGGGGACCGAACAGCAGACTGTGCACAATGGTCACTGGAGCGGAAGAAAAGTTCTGTAGCTGGTTGCGACAATCATAATATCAATCGAACGCGTACAAATGATGCATGTCTTCGCCATATGGTGTACAATGAGTATGTGATGATTATGAGTATCGCGTCAAGACAAACGCCGCAGTCTCGGGCAACGCTTCAAGAGTCCTTCTCGATGGGTCGGACCGGGGCCGGCGAGGAAAAGGCTCGGGGGCTCGAGTGCGTATGTGTGTGCGTATCGGATACGGGAGTACGGGGGATGGACGTTGCAACGATGGACGGGGGCACATGTTGGATGAATCATAGATGGCACAGGGCACAGGGTTTCAGACTCTTTTACTGCTTTGATTGTTCGCGTAGAGCCTTGCTGTTGCAAGGATTTTGTTTGTGCGTTGTGAGGAACCCTGAAAACTTGGAGTTGTGTACTTCGTAGTTACTTGTAGTGTGGTAGAGAGAGGGAAGAAGATGGAGGGTCGGAAGAGGTACGGATGGGTCACGGCCGGGGAGGGGGGATGGGCGGAAGCAAGGCGCGGTCGATCGCAACTTTTCGATGTGGGGTGGGTTTTGTGCTCTGAGCCTCTGATGGAAATCTCGTAGACGATAGCCCTGATGAAGATGCATGTTGGGTTTTTTGTTTACGGATACCTGACTCCAATGTATGTGTGTGTGTGTGTGTGTGTGTGTGTGTGTAGGTGGTGGGTTGATGTCATTGGTGATTTGGCCGCAAGGGGAATTTTGGGCAGCTGGTGAGCGTGATTAGATGCTGCTGATGTTTCATTCGAATTTTAGGGGGTGTTTTTTGCGGAAAAGCTTAGCGTTTAGTTTTGGATGCGAGGACAAGGAGAGAGCGGATTTCGGAGGTGGGTAATATGATCTGATTATCTGGATTCGGGGTGTGGATGGAATGAATGGAGACAGAATGGATTACTGTTCATACGGAGATTGTGGGTGTACATTTCACATGCCTAAGCAGCTACCATGTATGCTGACTCCCCCGACGGAGTTGACGATGGTAAAGTCCATTGTTCCATGTCCCCTTTTTCGTCGTAAGTTGCAGTTGGTAGTTAAGAGGGAGGTCGGTTGAGTGAACTTCTTAGCAATGGGTGATCTGATGATTCCATGTGTTGTTGTATTTGGGAGTTTGCCTCGTCACTAAGTCATTTTCCGTGTACTGTAGATCATTCCCCTTTTCCTAGTATTGTTGAGCGGAGGTTCGAGATGAGGCTCAATCAAGCCGGACGGACTGGCGTCATGCGCAAAATACTTAGGTATGCAGGATTCTTTTTGGAGCGGACTGGCAGCACTAGGAGCCTTAGTGTCTTCTTGATCGGACGCGTTCCTCGGTGGACGGGGCTTCCAAGGAAGGAGGCGTCGATGGTGGCACTATTTCCCCCCCTCACCCCTATTTCACGACCAGAATTACCTACAATGCGTTTTTGAACCGCTCTGGGGATCTGATGGCGGATTTGAGGCGTCCGTGTTTAAGTGGCATAAGCATACTTTCATCGACCGTGGGAGCCGTGAGGAGCGAGGGAAGGGATTGATGGATCGATGGGAGGCTGCATGTTTCGAAACAAAACTGAATTAGATGACGGGGGAGGGGGAGGTCATTTGGGGCTGAAAAGTAATGAGGTTGTTGTTCGAGATGGGGGCGCGTTTTAGGGTGGTAGTACAAAGTCACAGCCGAAACTGAGTTTCGGAGGTGAGAGACAATGAATATGGGCAAGGTGAGATTGGAGGGGGGGATACATACCGAAACAAACAAAGTATAATGAACAGCACACGAATGATGAATGGCAGGCTGCACTTATTCTGTGTTTGTACGGAGGAGTTGAATATGTTGTGAAGAGACTGGGCAGATTTGATGGGAGAGAAATACGCGGTCAGTTTTCCGTATACGAGTAATACGAATAGGTAATGTTGGTTTGACTCGTATTTTTGATAGAAGAGGAGCGCAAATGCCAAAATGAGATGGGCCTGGAATGCGAGAACCAAGGTACTGTCGACCGGGGCTGTATGGTATACGACGACCGCGCCTCAATTGTGGCTGACGATGTGGGAATAACCTCTTTCTGGTTGGCATGGACAGAGAGTATTTTTGAGATGGGAACTTGTACGGATATCAAGTTAGGGTATCCGTATGGCGGAGAGGTGTGCGGAAAGTGGGATGTCGTCGCGTCTCTAGGAACATAAAAAAGGAACATGGGGGCAGGCTTGGCACGTTGGCATTGACTTTTTCTGCTTCGTCGTCGTGGTCCCGGGGCCGCGGTAATTAATACATAGTATGAGTGAGGCAGAATCGCGATGATGATTTGGTGGTATCCCTGAGGAGATGGTGAATGTGCTTCTCTTTCTCACTAGTGTCTTTTTCGTGCATCGGGTTTTCCCCCGTTCTTTGGGAGGCCTGTGACGTCGCATCTGTCAGTCCGTCCGGTGTTCGTCTCATTGCGATGGGCCGTGTGTTTGATCAGCCGCCTGGCGGCTGCGAGGAGGAAGGGGGAGAGAGTTTTGCTGTGCAGGAGACTGAAAGATTGCTCGGACGAAAAGAATGACGTTGATTGAATGTGCTCGAGGTTGATCGAGGCCGAGTCCCTGCATCATCAAAAGATCAGTGCATGGCGGGCGAAATCCATCGTGCCGCTGTGCGTGCGCACCCGCTGCACATCCCATCCGCGGTGGTCATATCGGGGATTTTAAACAGCCAGTGAGAGTCGGTCTTGGTCTGCAATTCGTTCATAGCTTCGAGTCTTGGGTCGCAACATAAGTAGGGATCAAATTTTTCTAATCTGCTCTCCTTCGTTTCCGAATTCTAAAACGCCGCGCGGGAGGGACAAGATTTGAGGAAGGGGCCCAGGGAAGGGGGAGGAGGGAGCCCGGCTGTTTGGTGTTGGATCCCTGTTCATAGCCCGTCGCAGTGCTCCGTACGGCGAGGAAAAAAAGATTGAAATAAGAGATGGTAATGAGATTGCCCCGTACGAGTGACGCGTTCACATTTGCCCATACGACGTACGAGTAAATACTCTGATGATGTTGATTTCGCAACGGTGAGAGTGTGGCGTAGATGTACCCAGCATAAGGCAGACGATGCTGCAAATAGATGTCTTCGGTAACCGGCACTGGTCATAGCAAGGCGGTGACGCTCTTTTGCATTGAGCATCCGATGTTGGTGGATTTGAACAATGATGCTATTCCACGCGCGCCACGGCTGTGTACTGCGTACTTTGGTACGGCTGAGCAGCCCCAAAAGTCGAGACACAGAGGGCCATGTGAAGGGGAAACCCCTGAAGGGCGGCGCTGCGTTGTCCCGGAGGCGGGAGGGATCTCGCTGCTGACTGGATGCCGCCGTCGTCAGCGGCCCTGTAATCTTAGTGCGTCCGCTCCGTCGTCGACCCTTGGCACTCAGCCACTTGGCAAACGGCCCCGGACTCTTTCCATTGCCTTAGCACCCACTGGGCCGCTGCACCTTAGGTAATGCACCTCGAAGTACCCGGTACCCCTGGTCCCCTACTAAGTTACGGAGTACCTCCTACAGCTTGAGGAAGGAAGCATGCTCATTGCTTTGGTGCTTACCTCCTGAGTAACGGGTTGTATGTCTCTCGCCAAGTTCCCCCCCTCCAAGTCTTGCGCTTTCGTCATTCTTCTTCCCTCCTTCCAAACCCTTCACCACAACGGCCGTCTCCTTGGTGCGCGTCTGTCTACTCTTCCGATTCTACCTTGCTCTTTTGTTTTTGCTTCTTGGCCGCGGGAATCCTCCATCGATTGACCGAAACTACCTTCTTCATACCAAACTGCATTTTGTTCAACGTCACACTCCCGATAACGAAGACCGAAACGATACCCCGAACCCCGACCAACGACGAAAAGGAAAACCCCCAGCTCTGTAATTGCGCGCGACGGACCGTTAATATTTCTGTGGAATCTTGCAAGAGGAGGATCGACGTGCGACTACATTACTGGGCGCGGACTGGGGAAAGACAATCCCTTCTGAACCACTCGGCCACGATCTTCTAGCACCCACAGAAACCCACAACACAACCATCCTCGTCTCATCTCAGAGGGAGAGACACGGCGCGAATTGAAGGGAGAAATTCACTCTGAACCGGTAGAATTATAACGAGGAAGCCATCCCGAAATACGAATCCGTCGTTTTGAATTCGAAATTCGACCTTTTCCTTCTCCTCTGCGAGTCCGTTTGCGACCACGCGACCCGCCCCAAACGCAATCCAGAGCCACCAGGCGACCAAGCTCTGCCAAGACCGGCACCCGCTCTGTTCCTGCAGCGCACCAGTCTTGGCACAACCGTTAAACCCCAACCCACCAACCTCATCTACACCGACATCGTCATCGTCTGCTCCTGCCACGCCGCTTATAGTCCTCCCGTAACCCGCTGCCATAGTTTGCGGGCCTTCCGTTCCGTACACGATACCCCGTCCTCCGGAGGTCACCCCTCGGCACGGTGCTGAGCTGTCGTCGCCATGAATTTAACGTGTAATTCAACGCTCGAAGAGCTGAGGAGTATGTCACTCGACCCTGAAATCCCCTAACCCTATCCCCGTGAGACATCCGCATCGTGCAAGAAAACTAACAAGCCCTCTTCTCTCTCAGTCCTCCCCGGCTCCGAGATCCTCATCGCTGGTCCCCTGACCTTCCACGACCTCGCCCTGATCATTGCCGGCTCCTGCACCATCATCGCAATATGCCTCTCCTTCTACCTCGTCTTCATGCACTCGATCAACTATACCAAGCCCCGCGAGCAGCGTCAGATCATCCGTATCCTCTTCATGGTTCCCGTCTACGCCGCCTCCTCATTCCTTCAACTCTGGTACTACTGGCACGCGGTCTACTTCCAGCTCATGAGCGACTGCTACGAGGCTTTCGCCATCGCATCCTTCTTCTCGCTCATGTGCCACTATCTCGCCCCGGATGTCCATACCCAGAAAGACTACTTCCGCAATCTTTACCCCATCAAGCCTTGGGTCTGGCCTCTCGATTGGTTTGCAAAGTGCTGTGGAGGACAGAGAGGACCCTGGCGCACGCCCAAAAGCGGCTTGACCTGGTTCAACGTCATCTGGATTGGTGTATATCACTACGTCTTTATCCGCGTCGCCATGACTGTCACGGCCGTCGTCACCCAATACTTCCACCGCTACTGCGAAAGCTCAAACAACCCAGTCTTTGCTCACATTTGGGTACGTTTTATTTGCCCCCTAGGCCATCTGGAATTCTTCATTAACAGAAACAGGTCATCTCGATCAACTGTGTGGCCGTCACTATTGCCATGTACTCCGTCATTCAGTTTTACGTCCAGATGAGAGAACCCCTCAAGGAGCATTCGCCCTTCCTCAAGGTCCTTGCCATCAAGCTTGTAGTCTTCTTCTCTTTCTGGCAGGTCACCTGCATTTCCCTCGCCACCTCGACGCTCGACCTTGTCCACCCGAACAAAGTACTGGCCTACCCGGACATCAAAGTCGGCATTCCCGCCCTTCTTCTGTGTTTCGAAATGGCACTATTCGCCCTCCTCCATCTTTGGGCCTTCCCTTACGCCCCTTATGTCCCGGGCGCCAAGACCACATACTACCCGTCCGCGGACTCTCGAGATAGCCACGCTCCCCTCCGCGAAAACGTCCATACGGCCCCCGCCGGCGGTTGGATGGGTCTAAAGGCTGTCGGGGACGCCCTTAACCTGTGGGACTTTGTTAAGGCCTTTGGTCGCGGTATGCGCTGGCTGCTTTGCGGTGTCAAGCGCCGCCACGAGGACCCTAGCTACAAGACCGCAGCCAGCCTCGACATGGACGACCTCGACAAGGGCGGAGACACGGGGTACCATCCCGCCGGTGTCAAGAGCACCGATCACCTTCCAATCGCTACCGAATTCCGCCGCAGCACATACCTGCAACCCTCGCGACCACCTCCACGACCCCAGCGCCCTGGTAACGAGAGCGACAGCCTCATCGCCCACGCCCAACCGAATCCCTCGCAGATGTCTCCGCCACGCCGTCCCGCGCGCCCGGTGTCCCCCTTGTCGCCCATGTCGCCAATTTCGCCCTACCAAGACCAGAGCTTCCAACAGCAGACGGGCATGACGCCAGTACACTCGGCACACCCGGGGCCCAGCAACGGCGAATGGGGGAGAACGGGGCCGGCAGCACCAGCAAATCTGGGTGTCGCAGGTCCCCGCGACTTGACGCAGCAAAGGGTAGGAGAAGCGCTTTGGGGACCACCACAAAGCCCAGCAGCCGCCTCCATCATGCCAGAGAGTCCCGTTCTCGGATCGCCGATGAACGGCGCCTACGGACATCCGGCCCTTCAGCAACAGGCGTACCAGCAACAAGCATACCAGAACCAGGCGTTTGGCAGTCAGCAACAACCGCATGCCAATCACCCGTACGGGAACCAGACGCACGAACAGCAGCCGGGGCCTGGTCAGGCTTTTTAGGCCGAGCCATGTATATAAGATTTTTACTCTTGAACAAAAGTCACAGATCGCGACGGTTCACATGTTGGATAATAGTCAGCGGTCTAAGAGAAACTGCTGGAACCCTTTCACGACTATGAGGTTTGAGGTGATTAGTTTAGTCTTTTTAGGGGGGTTCAAGGTGGGAGGCAATGCATAGGAAAAATCGGCGTTTACTTGTTTTTCTTTACGAGATACCACATCATTTAGCTAGGTGGGAATGAACATACACATTTACAAACAATCTTGAATGGTCCTGGCGCCGTCAACTTGGCTATGAAATCTCTACCGTGATTGATGCTCGTTGGCTAAAGCACTGATGTATCCACACGCTTTAAAAGTAAAAGTAATCACACGCTTGCCCAGTTTTCTACATTCAAGATCCAAAAGTCGATTTGGTTTGTAACATGAGCGACAGTAGATACGCTTTCACATTCGCCGTGGTAAACTAAACACAGGATACAACAAATTTGCCTCTCCCCTCCAATAAAATATCCCATGATTTGTCCGTCCCTCAATATCCAGATCCCCGTCACGCCGAACGGGAAAAGGCCAAAAGACTCCCAGATATTTCCATTGTATACACTGTTTGAAACCCCCCTTCCCATTTCACACACACGCACACATACACAGGTCCGATGACTGGGGGCCCCCCCTTCTCCCTCCTAGATTCCTTGGAACGAACGGCGGTTGATATCCAGCAAAAACCCAAAACGCCTCGAGAAACTCCCAACGCAGATACGCTTTAGACCAGCGGGACAAAAAAAGACAAAGGCCCCCGAGTGATTCACGACCAACAGAGAGCCCCCCATGGTCCGTCTAATCAGACATCGGAAGTACCAGATCCAGACTCCGCCAACGCAGCAGCAGCAGGTCCGACGGCAGAAAACGAGTCAAACAGGGTAAAGTCCCCACGTCCTTTGTGATCATCACCCGGCACCTAGCCGAGCGACGGACTGGTCTCCCTGCTCCTCGACTCGAAGCTCTCCACCATCTCGAGCACCCTCGTCCTCGGCCTCGCCACGCTCACGACCTCGGCCGTACGAAGCGTCAGCGACGGCCGGGGCTCCGCAGAGTCTTCCCGGCTCGGCAGCGGGTGGTCGTGACCATGAGAAGACTCCCCAGAGTCGTCCTTTGGCGGGGGGAGGTGTAGTAACCTCCGTCCGCGCACCGGCGACCCCGTGCTCGGTGACTCGGGTCTCCGCGCATACACGCCCCTATTCCGGGATCCCAGGTCATCTTCGTCATCGTCGTCGAGAGCAATCTCCTTGCCCTTGCCCTTATCCCTATACTCCTCCGCGAGAGCCCTCTTCTCCAGATCCGCCCCGTCGAGCCCCTCCATCTCGTCCTTATCCGGGTCCACGAGGATCGCCTCCTCCTCCTTTTCAATCTCGGCGTTGACGACCCGCAGCCGCTCCTTGGGCACCGTGAACATGACCTGCACCAGCCGCTGCTCAATCGCCTTTTCGATATCCCACTCGTCGAGCGACTTTTGGTCAATGTCCCAGTCGTGCCGGCCCTGCTTCCTGCGCAGGAGCTCGGCGCCGCCGATCCCGGATAGCCCGACCAGCCGCGGCTCGTAGTCCGAGCTGACTTGGTCGAGGGATAACCGCCGCGGGCTCTCGTGATCGCTCGAGTCGGACGAGTTGTTGTTGACGCCGCTGCTGAAGACGCGCCGGAGACTGCCGAGCCACCCGAGTGATCGACGGGGCTTGTGCTTGCTGGGGCTGCTGGGGATGTGTACAAAGTCCTCTTCGTCGTCGTCGTGCTCGTTGCGTGGTCGCTGGCCTTGGAGGAGCAGCGAGGGACCCTCGGCTTGCAGGGCGTTGAAGGTTGTCTTGGCGGTGGAGTATGTGTGCCCGCTGCTGCTTGACGACGAAGAGGTGCCTACCCGGTTATCGGTGATGATGGTCAGGTTATTCGGTCCTGTACTATTTCGTCTCGCAGACGCCGAGCGCGTGGGTACGCTGATAGCACTCCGCGCCGACTCGGAGACGTTGCTGGCCGTCCGCTCGTCATCTGCCATGGACCGCGCCGAACGCATAGACGCGCGCCGTGTTGGGGAGACGCGGCTATTGCGGCGCGAGGGCATTCGAGCCAGGAGGGCTTCTGTAGCGTCAATGTCCGACTGCCAGTCCTGCACCTCAGTGTTGCGGCGCAGGAGGGCCTCTGGACTGGGCGTCATGGAGTTGCGGTTGCCGGGGGTCAAGATCGGGACGGAACCCGTCGGCGTCATGAACGGGTCGGCGTGCCCCGGTGTGGTAGGTGTCGCGGGCTCCTGATCCTTCCTTCTGTTGACGTGCTCGGGGTCATCTTCATCTGCTTCGTAGATTGGGTGGATGTGGCCTGGCGTGGTGAGATTCGCTGCTGGTTGGTATGCGCCTCTTGCCGCGCGAGGTATGGGTTTGCGCGGAATGAGCAAACCGGGCGGCTGTTGATATACACCTTGGTTGTTGCCCGGACCATGGCCTGTCCTTAACGATTCGTAGCCGAGCGATCTGTCGATCGTCTCGTAAGGATCGTGACCTCCCGTGTACCAAGAATGGCTCGTCCAGGGGTATGCCGATCCGCCATCCCGCTCCAACATGTCGTCTTCTGGATGCAGAAATCGTGTCGCATCTTGCGCTAGAGACCTCACCGTCTCCTCTCTCATCTCCTTCTTCTTCCTTAAATGTCTCTTGTAACAATAGTAAACCAAAAAGGCGCCGAGAACTGCGGCAAGCCCAACGCCGAGGCCGACACCCAGTCCAATCTTCTTGATGTTGTCGTTTCCGGTGGAGCTATTAGATCCACTCGACGATGTCGCATGATTTGGGTTCGTGTAGCTCGAACTCCATGCCATAGAAGTCATGTTCAGAAACCTAAGCCCGGTCCCGCTTGACTGTCTCTTCGCCTTGGATCCTGAAGTCGTGATTTCGTATCCTCCGTAAACCATCATTACATTGCCAGGCAAAATCGCTGCCCCGTGGCCATATATGCCACCATCCGGTTGCTGAGATGGAATCGACCACGTCCAGTCTCCGTACGTATCACCCATCTTGAGAAGCGCAAGCTGCGGAGAAGCAGCTTGAGATACACTGCCAACCCAGCCGCCAAGAATAATAAGCGCAGTTCCATCTTCGTTCAGCACCGCTGTGTGCCCGGACCGGCTCTCCACCTGCGTCGACGCGCGCTTCTCGACGTTCTTGACCGCGAGCTCGCTGCTTCCGACGCGCGTGGCGCTGACTGTCGCAAAGTTCCACGACTCCTCTGGCAGGTTCCAAATGGCGGCGGAGCTCATGTTGATAAAGGCCTGCTGGGTGTGGCCGCCGAGCAAAACGTAGCGGTTCTGTTGCGTGACGATGCCGGACCGGTTTGAGATTGACGGGCTCAGGGGCGTGAAGGAGAACCCCGCCTCGGCGTAGGCGGGGCCCTTGCCAGAGATGAAGCTGGCTGAGTACCCCGAAGCCACAGAGTCTGAAGGAGCCACTCTCAACATGGCTTTCGTATATGTCCCGTTTCCTTGCCACGTAGATTCGTCCGTTGTCGGCGCCAGACACATGCCGCCGAATGAGTACAGTACAGGTTCGGACATGGTCGGCGCGAGGGTCGACGAGAAGCTGATACCTGCACCAAGAGCATACGGACCTGCGTCCGAGTCCGCGCTGCTAGGTAGTGTTGCTGAAGTCTTGTACCAGGATCCTGAAGAGCTCGAAGACCCTGATGCCGCCCCTGGAGTATATGTCCAGATATCGTAGCCCTCCGCCGTCTTGCAATCCCCCGCCTGAACCACAATGGTCCCATTGTCCGCCATAGTGGGGAGGAAAGCCGTCGTCTTGGTCGCATCGTCGAGGAACGGCAAGCTCGTCGATATCGTCTGCAGGCTGGCAGCGCCGTCGACGGTAGCAGAGGCATTCACCGACAGGAGCTCGACGCCGGAACTACCCTGGTGAAAGATGTATGCAAGGCCATGGTTGCTGTTATTGCCTGATGATCCCGGCAAGGCGGAGGAGAGCAAGATTGTCGTCGGAACGTATGGGAACGTTTGTTGCGCCGAGACCAGGGAAGTGAAGAGCAGCGCGGCGGCGGCGAAGGTCGTCGTCTTGCGGATAGCTGTTTCTGGCCCCGACAAGGCCCACCGGCCGGCCGTTGCGGTCATGATCGTTCCGTAAAGGATCGTCGTTTGCGGTCCGGTTTTGTGTATTCGTATACGCCAACCGCTGAGCGGTGGTCAATTCATGTTCTTTTGCCCCCCTCTCTTCTGCGCACTCTGGTTGATCGTCGTTGTCCTCTCAAATGTTGATGCGATGTGAAGTCGGGAAGAGATCCTGGTTCTAGAACGGATGATTCCTCAGTAGGCTGGCATTCCCTCTTTTCTTCTTCCTTCGTCACTCCTTCTCGCTTCGACACTCTCAACTAGCTAGCCGGGTCGGAAAATGGGCCTTGAGGAATACGTCGACGAACCGAAAAAAAAGTGATAGGCAGGGAAAGAATAGAGGAAGGAAAAGCACGGGGCATGCGGGAAAGAGGAGGCCAGAGCTGGGTCAGGATGACCAGAGATGGAGAAAGACGAACACCCCGGACAAGGGCGATGGGAATTAATCTGGATGACGAGCAAATCGAGGGGTTGGGGTGTGGCCTGGTTTGCGGATGCAGATGCAGTTTGGACAAGGGTAGGTTTCTGTACACTAAGGGAGAAGGACAAAAAAGCAAGATGTCAACAAATCGAACGGTTTCGATGTGCAGGGGGGCAACGGAGGAGGGGTCGTTTTGGCGGCGCGCCGCGGCGGTTGACTGGCACCGGTGGGAGGGAGACGAAGGCTGAAAGGCAGCGAGCCGTGTGAGCGAGTCGCCTACAAGACCCGAACGAACGTCTATCAAAGGGCCGCGCACTTGGGAAATCCGAGAGCCAAGGATGAGCGGGAAAAGAGGGGTTGGTTAGGAAGCCTAGAACCAAGTCTTCAATCTGCGCCGCAGGCTTAGCACCGATGGATGATAGGCAG